CATTTTAGGTAAGTTGCCCGTCCCTATCTACCCTGTGTACAGAGCAGATAATATTGATACTTGATTTGAAGACTCTTTCCTTCTCTGCTGGAATTTAAAGTAACTACTGCTCTGAGTATAGGTCAGGTTCATCATGAAGCTGTATCTTCTGTCTCTGTAGCTGTTCCAATCTGCTTGTCCTTTCTAGTGGGAATGTCTCACCTCACAAAGTTGTGGATGGGACTCAGGATTCCCCCTAAGGTCCTATACCCTGTAAAAGCTTTGCACGAGGTCTATTTCACTGGGCAAGTTGTAGAACCCCTTTTAGGTATTCTAATCAGTTATAGGCTGAAGACGAGCTTACAAGTTTTCTCTAATCATATTTCCCAACATTCCTTTCTATTCCACTCAAGTGTCTATTTTACAATAGTAGGCAAGAGAAACTAATATTCATAAGGCAGTCAAGGATTTTTAGCCTCCTCCCCGCTTCTTGTATTGCCCTTCACAACACCCACACTAAACGCCCCACCCCAACCCCATTGTGGTTACCTTATATTCCATTAGTTCTTCCCTCCATTTAAAAGTCTATTTTATCCAGTAGTCTACCTGACCTTCCCACCACCTGGATCTCTGTTCCTCTGTGTTTACCTTCTTTCACATTGTAATTGTTTTGATCATAGACGGACCTTCCAGATTTCTCTGTTCTTATAATTTTATTCTGTTCTTGACTCTTCCATTTGTCGATTAAGTTCAGGGTGATGCTGCCATGTGCGTCATTCTATAGTTGTGTGTTCTTATTGGTTTTCAGTCCACAGAATTTCCTTTAGGATGTTTTTCATAGCAGGGTTGGCTTTGACAAAATCCCTTAGCTTCTGTTTATCCTGGAATGTTTTGATTACACCATCACATTTGATTGACAGCTTTGCTGGGTAGAGGATTCTTGGGTGGCAGTTTTCTTCTTTCAGGGTTTTATATATGTTACTCCGTTACCTTCTTTCCTGCATGGTTTCTGTTGAGAAAACCGAGCTTAATCTGATTTGCTTGCTTTGTATGTTATATTTCTGTTTTCCCTAGCTGCTTTCAAGACGCTGTCTTTATCTTTGATTTTGGAGAGCTTTATTATTATATGTCTTGATGATTGTCTTTTAGGGTCTATCCATCTTGGGGTTCGTTGAGCTTCTTGAATGCTTATCCTTTCACTTTTCATGATGTTAGGGAAATTTTCTTCCAGAAGCTCTTCAACTATCTCCTCTGTGGGCTTGTGTGATTGTTCCTGTTCTGGAATGCTAATAATTCTTATGTTATTCCTCTTCATGTTCTCCAACATGAATCTGAGGCCTTCAGATTTTTTTTTATCCTTTTTTGTGTTTGTTCTTCTATCTTAGTGGTGTTGAGAAATTTGTCTTCTAGCTCACTAGTTCTGGCTTCTATCTCTTCAATCCCACTCCTTTGCCCTTTCAGTGTATTGTTCATTTCTGATACTCTATTATTAATCATTTGGACCTCTTTCTGTAGGTTTTGAATTGTATCCAATGCTGTATTTATCTTATTTGATTGTTCCTGTAGCACTTTCCTGACTTCTTCCTTATTTTTCTCAACTCCATTGTATAGTGTTTTGATACCTTTTATAATCATTTTTTGAATTCCTTCTCCGGCATTTCCAAAGCTTGCCCATATTCCAGTATGAAGTGTAGGTCTACTTCCAGCTCATTTTCCTCAGTCACTTTGTCTCATTTCTGGACATGTGCAGATATGGTCTGTTTTTTGGGCATATTCATGGGTTTATCTGTCGCCTTAATGCTTAGATGGGTATGTATTTTGGTATTTTTTATGCTTTCTGAATGCCTCTAGGTAGATGTATTCAGGAAATGGGCTTCCCTTTTCACTCTTGAGAAATTTCAAGATGCCATTATTGGTCGTTTTGACATAACTTAGTATTTAATTTTCAGCCTAGCCTATTTCCTCTTTTGTCTGCTTGTCCTGCTCCACAATCCCTGTTCAGGCCTTTTTCTAGTTATAAACAATTCAGGGTTGGCTGTGGCCATTTTTGTTTTTGGTAATTTTAAAATATGTTTATTTTTTCCAACTTAATAAACTATTTTTTTCTGTTAAACTTATTCTGCTTTTAGCAGATGCATGGTCCTTGTTGTTTTTCAGGAAAGGAGCCCACAGGCATAGAAAGTCAGCCCCTGTTTTGACAGGTCGTTACTTGTCTTGTACTGCCAGGTTGTCCTATGGTTTTGTATCATTTTCTAATATATTGATTGTCATAAAACATAAAGAAGCTCTTTAGAAATACCAAAATGAAAATAAGAAATTTTGTGTTCCAAATTGTTCCAATATAAGTTTTGGATCTGACTTTCATAGGCCAAAATTTGTGACCTGCCTGTGCATGGCCATCACAAAGGAGAAGGCATGGGCTGCTTAGTTAAGCACGGTTCTATGCCCTTGGCAGAGTTGGCACTCCTGCCCATCTAAACTATGCAGATGTTATTAGGATGCAGGTGCTTCCTCCCATGGTAGTTTCTTAGACTACTGTAACAAATCACAACAAACTGAAAACAGCACAGATATTTTGTCTTGTAGTTCTAAAGGTCAGGAGTCTAAAGTGGGTTTTGGTGGAATACAGTCAAGGTATTGGCAGAGCTGTGTTCCTTCTGGAAGCGCTAATGGAGATTCTATTTCCTTACATTTTCTAAATTCTAGAAGCTACCTGCCTTCCATGAGTCATGAATTTTTCACCTCTTCAAAGCCAAAATTAGTATCACTCCAACCTTTGCGTCTGTAGTTATATCTTCCCTCTTATAAGGACCCTTGCAATTACATAGAACGCATTTGTCTTATCCAAGATACTGTCCACATTAAAGATTCTTAATTTAGTCATACCTGGAATGTCCCTTTGTTCTGGAAGGTAACATATTCATAGGTTCTGGGCAGCAGTATGTGGACATCTTTAGTGGAGGCATTGCTCTGCCTAACCTGCTCCTCATTCAAAAAAATCCAGGTACTGTTACTAGGTGAAGGGTGAACAGATGCTAGACCTTGGGTTCTAGTTTCCAGTTCATTAATTTAAGTAGCTATATGCGTTAGATAACTAACTTAATCTCTAGGTTTTAACTTGGTGGTGGTGGTTGCCTAACCATCTTCTCCTTCTAAGGAACGGCCGTTTGGTTTTAAGTGGAACCTGTCTCTTTAAATTTCGAGGAGCTCTGTGCGTATGCATAGTAGAACCCTTCGAGGGTGGGGCTGAGGTTTCCACTAGCCTCAGGCACCTTTGTAGTCACCAGAATGGAGGTACACAGACAGCAAGGGCCCAACTAACAGATACCAGAAGAAAAGAATGTCCACACCTCTATCTCTGCGGCTCTGTCAGGCGTCTGTGGCCGCTCTGATCTTTCTCCCTCTTGGTCCCACACAAGATGGCGGCTCCAGGAGCAGCTGAGCGTCCCAAACCAGAAAGCAATGGATTTCTTGCTTCTGCCACAAACTCCCCCAGCTGTAAGTCTTCCATCCTTCTAAATATTCCTTTATATGTGGTTCAGAGTTCAGGGACCATCCCCTGAGCCTGCTTGGTCCTGTATTCTTTGTTGTTGCCAGCGGAGCTCTTCACTGCACTTCCACCTGATCCGGCACCATCTTGTTTGTTCTCTATTTATTTAGCTTTTAATGGCTGAATATACTCTTTAGTATGGACAGACTGCGAACTGCAACGTCAGCAGTTCGAAACTACCAGCTGTTCCGTGGGAGAAAGATGAGGCTTTCTGCTCCCATAAAGATTTACAGCCTCGGGAACCCTGTACAGGGTCGCTATGAGTCAGAACTGACTCCACAGTACTTAACAACAACAACATGAACAGACCACGTTTTGTTTATGTGTTTATCTGTTGAAGGATACTTGGCTTGTTTCTACATTCCAATTGTTGTAAGTAATGCTGCTGTCAGCCAACTTTGAAAGGGTTTGTGTTGACCCACTTTTTAAGTTTGTCCTGGTTGATACCCAGGAATAAAATACTGTCAGATGGTAACTCTATATGTAATCATTTGAGGAACTGTTGTGCAGTTTTCCAAAGTAATTGCACCATTTTTCATTTTTCTTTCTCCACGTTGTCACCAGCACTTGTTATTATATGTCTTTTTTACTGTAATTATCTTTGTTGGTAAGTGCCATTTAGTCGATTCCGATTCTTAGCAACCTTATATTGGGTTTCCAAGGAGCAGCTGGTGGATTTGAACTGCCAACCTTGTGGTTCACAGTGCAGTGCTGATCCTTCAGCGTCACACTAGGAGTCCGGGACTCTCTTAGTGGGTATTACGTGATTAAATCTAAGAAGTTTGAAGCCTGATCATGTGCCGTAGGATAAGCATTGGACTGTGAATCATAATGTCGGTGGTTTAAGCTCACCAATCACGCTGCAGAAAGAGGCTTTCTGCTCTTACAAAGATTTAGAGCCTCAGAAACCCTATAAAGGGTTGCTATGATTCAGAACTGACTAAATGGCACTTCACAAGAACGACACACCTAAGAGGCTCAGGTAGCATTCCCATTGATTTAAGACACTTTTTTTTTTTTTAATTACAATATTTAATAACTTTATTCTGTCTCCCTACTTTTTGTTGATTTGCTTATGAAACCTAATTCAGAATCTCTGTTTTTTCAAAGAAGGAAAAGAAAGATACCCAGCATCTTACCCCTTACCCAGAGTACAATAAGCTTGTTCACCAGAGTTGTTGTTAAGTGCCGTCGAGTCGGTTCTGTCTCATAGTGACCCTATATTGGGTTTCAGGGAGTGGCTGGTAAGTTTGAACCAGTGACCTTGTGGTTCAAACTGACCTTGCAGTCCAGTGCTTTATTCCACAATGCCACATACAGTAGAAATTCTGATCAGACGCTGATTCAGGAGGAATGAGTATGTAACATTACCATTACACAAAGTTATATGACAAAGAAAAACACATCTTTGATTTCTGGACTTAAGACACTGTAGTTTTTCTGATGTTCTTGGTTTTCTTTTTGTCTGTAGGTGGTGGTTACCAACACAATTCCACATGAAATCCAGAAACTCCAGTGCCCCAAAATTAAAACTGTGGATATCAGCATGATCCTTTCAGAAGCCATCCGTCGGATTCACAACGGAGAATCCATGTCCTACCTTTTCAGAAATATAGGCCTAGATGACTGAACAGCTTTCCTTTTACCAAACCCCTGAGGGCCAAACTGGAAGCACATGGACCAGACTACGTGGGTTAGGCTTGGCTTTGGGTACTTCACAGGAGCTGGTTTATTCCCCTCATCCCCACCTTCCAGTACAGTACCCTTTCTTCTTGCTAATTCTTATGAAGATAGAGTATCTTTTTCAGTGGGTTTGGGTGTTTGTGACTTTTTTTGGGGTAATTTTTATAAAAGAAAAGCTCTATTCTCCTGTTAAATAAGTTAAGACCTGGTTGTTTTGTTTTTGTTTAGCTATTTAAAAAAATACCACTTAAGAGTAAGATTTTTAGGTTCACAAGCAGCCTTTTCCAAAGTTGCTTGAGCCAAGTGCTTAATGGTAATCAAACACAATGATCTACTATGTGATAACTGCAGTGGAATTAAAAAGGATGATACTTAACTGTTGAATCTAAATAACATTTTTAGAAATACTTTTATAAACAGGCATATGAAATGTGTGAGTATATTTATTTTCTGCAGGAAAAGAAGGAATAAGATTTTGTTGTGTGTGTGTGTGTGTTTTTTAGCTTTGTGTTTTGGCATTTGTTTTATAACTAAAATAAAGTGAAAGTGAATTAATGTGCTGTGGACATAGAAGTGTTCATTAACTTGCTAAATTTTTTCTTTGTACTTTTCAGGGGAATACAGCAGACTTTTTGCCTTTTAGGGACATTAATATTTCTTGTCTTGACTATTTGTCAAAGACCCTTAAAAGTTCAGGATACATAGTAATTTGACTGAGGTAGGGGAGTGGTTTGAATTCTGAATGTGAGGCTTGTAGGGTAGCAGGTCACTGAGCTGGCCCATAAGCCGGACATTTGTGTCTTGTCTAGACTTTGTTCTCTGCTTGTTGTTCAGCAATATATCCATTCTTGCAATGTCCTCTGGGGTGGTCAGGTGACAGAGGGTAGTCTCAAAGGTCAGGTATTGTGACTCTTGTCAGTCTCAAGAATCTAAGTATTGCCTGTGTTTTTTCTACCTCAGAGTGTATCAGACTAGGCTCCTAAAGTCCAGTGGGGCCCAGGAATTATGCTAGCATTTTATAACATCTCCTACTAAGAGTATAAGGAGCTCTGGTAGTGTAGTGTTTATGAGTTGGGCTGCTAACCACAGGGTCAGCAGTTTGAAACTACCAGCTGTTCGGCGGGAGAAAGGTGAGGGAGGCTTTCTGCTCCCATAAAGATTTATAGCCTCGGAAACCCTGTACAGGGTCACTATGAGTTGGAACCAACTGCACGGCACATAACCACCATGACCACTAAGAGTACGTTGTAGTAGACCTATCTCAGTCATGGAGGAAAAGCCAAGACTTTCTTACAAAGAAGAGATTTTCTTAAAATAAAAAATAAACCTTTGCTTTCTCCCTGTCTATGCTAGATAGAAATAAAATGGCAATTGATTTGGCCCTAATAAAGAAAATGTTTTGTAGTTAAGCTAGCCATTCCATAATCAAGCTATTTTAGGGATATCAGGTGTAAAGGAGAAAACAACATGAAATGATGTGCATAGTTCAGTTTCTGTAGGACTATGCTGTGATTTTCCTTAAAAAAAAAAAAAAAAGTCTATGTAAAGCATTGTGAGGAGGGGCGAACAAGAAACTCTGAAAATCTAGCTAGTGCTCATAGGTAAAGACTCTTCCACTTCTCTTTTGCTAATTTTTGCATCCCAATTCACTCTACTTTCAGTCAGTAGCCCGGAGAGGCTGCCATTTCTACTCCTTAAAGCACAGATAAAAGCCCTGCCGGGAATATGTTTAAACAGTTTAAACAGTTGATCCTAAGGATAGTAGTAGTTGCCTTATCAATTTGCCTTTTTTTTTTTGCAAAAGACAGCCAAGCATCTTAACATTATTTCCCCCCTTTTGCCCAATCCAACCATGTCACAATCCCTGTATCCCAGAGCCCTGTTGTTCCAAGGTTGTATATACAACGTTATTACCTCTGTCCCACTTACCCCATGCAACCCTGTCTAATCATTTTCCCATCAGCCTTGTTCTTCCATTCCCCTCCCGCTTCTTGTGTACTGCCCCCCTCCCCAGCACCCACACGATCCTGTGTGTCTATTCCCTGCCCTGTGCTCCCCCTTCCCCTCCCTCCAACAACTCCACCTACTCCTTTTGGTGCATCTTTTGCCATTTTTCAACTATTGCTACATGAAAGGAGGGACTTATAAACAAGGCTTCCCCTCCAGCCTGTGCCCTCGTAACCCTGAGTAGTCCTGCGAAGCTGAAGAAGCTTCAGCAATTACATCTGATTTGGCTTTGCTTGTCTTGCCTTCTTTCTGCCTCTTCTGATAATTGTGTGTTTTCTGTTATTGGTCACAGTGTGTGAAGTCATATTGTAAGCTCCTTCAAGATGAGTGACAAGCATTTGCTGTGCACTCATGGAGGCTCTGTGGGTGGGTTGTGTTGGGTAGTGGCTCTCCCTGAGATTGCTGAATGAATATGTTGCAGAACTGGCCAAGGGAAGATGGGTTCTGCTGTAGAATCTATTTCTGAGAAAACATCTTGAGCCCACTCAGTTGGAAGTCTCTTCTGGAAGATGTGGCTGTGTCCTGTCCTCCATATGCTTTCTTGATATGTCATACTTTATGAAGAAAAGGTAAACTTACAGAAGAGAAGTAAATGAAAAAAGAAGTTAATAGTTGTTTTCCTCTGGAAAAGAGGTGTGAAGTCAGGATCTTTCTGATCCACAAGTACTGCAATGGACTCAACTAGCCTTGGAGGAATGTGAAGATGTATCCTTGAAAGAATCTAGAACCTAGTGGGGAAGGTACCTAGACACCCTGTGGGAACACAAAAGAGCAGCTATTCTGGAGAGGAACCAGGCAAGAAAGCAGGTGAGTTGGACCTTGAAGAAAGATTCTGACAGAGAACAGACCAAGTTGGGGTTTCCAAGCAGGAGAATTTATAGACACAAAGATTCTGAGGTGATAGTGGTGGATGAGCTAGGTAGAGCAGTAGGAGCTTGGGATAGTGAGATAGTCCTGAGGGAGGAGGAGGTTCTGGAAGGCAAGGGTAGCAAGTTGGGCTCTACGGACTTTGCGGTTCATGGGAGTACACAATGGAAAGGAAGTCTCCAATCCAAGCCCCTCCTCCCTCAATTCTCCTCCCTAAAGCAACCATTGGCTTTTTTGTGTGTTGCAGACTTTGTCTCAGTCAGAAAAACCATTGTCCCGCTAAACTCCTGTCTCCTCTTACTGGCCAGAGTCAAAGGTAGTTAAACCTAGAAATCCTGTAATAGAAAAAAACCCCTAATAGCTTCCCATTTTGATTGTGATGTCATCACAGACAGACAAATGTGGGTTAAAACAATGCTTTCAGGGCCCCAAGAACATAGGCCAGTGTTTCTGCTGGGCATGAGTGATGTCTGTGGGTGTCTGTGTATGTGTGTGAACAAAGGAACATAAGCCTTTCAACACCCACTCTTCATTCATTTGTGTGTTGTACTCATTTATTCCTTCATGGCCTTCAAGGCCCTGCCCCCAACTAGTGCTCTTTGAGCTAGAATTATTCAGAATTAAGTTTTCTGCTTCCCAGCCCAATGCTCTTTCCTGCCATTCCAAGTATATCCTGATGAAATGCCTCCGAACCCCCATGATGTAGCAGGTATGGCAGAGCTGGGAGACACATTCCTGAAAGGCTTTGATTTGTTTCCTTTGTGAGTCTTAATCTAAATCTGAAAATCTTTGAGTGGCTAGCCTGCCAGCCAGGTGTTGGGTGGTGGGACATGTGCCTAAACATTTCAGGTTGACTGACTGTTGTGGAAATCACTAATAATGAAAGCTTCTATGGAGTCCTGGTTTGCTAACCACAGGGTTCGCGGTTCAAACCCACCTCCTCAGACACATTGTATAGGATCTCTGTAAGTTGGAACTGACTTAGCAACAATTGATGAAGCTCCCACTGTACACAGACCCGGTTCCAATTTTTTGATCTAATTATCTTGGCCCTCTAGTGACCCTGTTTGATGTATCAGGAAACTGACCCAGAAAGACCAAGTGCTTTCCCCCTGGCCAGTGTCAGGATTTAAACCCATGTCTGTATAATCCCAGCGCTAACCCTTTTCCTTTGATACAATGTGTCAGCCAAACACCCTGGATGGCCATGTCCCTCTGCATATGTCTGGGAAAAATCACTTCTGTGAAACCGAAGTTAATGAAAAATTTCAGAGCTTGATGTTAGGATTTGAGCAAAGCAGCAACCTGCATTATTAACACTGAACAAGTAGGGTACTGAATGTTGTTATATTAGAACTACAGGTTTCAAGTACACTCTCCTTTGTAAATGTTTTTTTGTGTGTGTGTATGTTTTGAGTGTCTTAGTCACATAGTGCTTCTATAACAGAGTTAAAGTCAATGGCTTTAACGTAGCAGCAGATAAATCTGGAGAACAAGCCAGGGACCATGTCATGGAGGGCCTTGAATACCAGCCCTAAGAGCTTGGATGAATTGTTAAGTGCAATCGAGTCTAGTTGATTCCAGCTCACAGCAGTTGGTGGGTTTGAACTGCTGACCTTGTAGTCCCACAACACCACACCAGAAGTCCTGGATGAGAAGTAGGAGCCAACAAAAGGTCATTTTTAAGCTGGTATGGTCAGCGGTTCGAAACTACCAGCCGCTCCGCGGGAGAAAGATGAGGCTTTCTACTCCCGTAAAGATTTACACCCTCGGAAACCCTGTACAGGGTCGCTATGGGTCGGAACCGACTCGACGGCACTTAACAACAACAACAACATGTCAAGGATTAAGTGTTAGGTCATTTTGATGGATTAGAAAGGCTGAGACGAGAGGCAAGGTATTTTAGTTTCTTAGTACTACTGTAATGGAGTCCTAGTGTGGCGCTGTATACAAGGTTTGTCGTTCAAACCTACCGGACTCTCATTAGAAACCTTATATAGTGTCTCTATGAGGCAGAACTGACCCTGTGGACCTTACAACAACAACTTTAATAGAAATATCACAAGTAAGTGGCTTTAACAAGCAAATTTCTTTTTTTATGGTTTAGGGGAT